CCTTGGGAAGAGGGCAGTCACAACCCATTTAACAGATAAAGACAAATATCTACCCCCAGAACACAGAGTTCCTGGGAGTCGCAGGTACGGAGGTGATACTCCTGACAGTGCCCTTTGAACCCTGAAAGAGGCACAGCCTAGGGGCTTAAACAGCGGACATCACGGTTGCCAGCAGTGTGAGCCCAGATAAGGTGCCTCAGTTTCCCCACCCGCCCAGTGTGTTCTTGGGGTTTGTTTAGAAGATTAAATGCGTGACAGCGACAAGCTTGGGGCTGGGGTGACTTGCAGGAGGAGTGAGAAACGAGGATGGGTCCGTGAGCGGTGGCTCGCTCTCCAAACCCTGCAGTAGCCCAGATTCTGAGCAAATGGGCAGGGGCCTGTGTCGATGTCTCGCCGCAGGGCGGTGGGGGGGTCCGGTGCTGGACCATGCTTCCGTGTTCTCGCGGAGGTCCTCACGCGCTCCGGAGCGGCGAGTGCGCGCCTTCTCCAAGCCTTACGGTAAGCGTGGCGCGCAGAGCAACCACGTGGCGGCGGAACCGAGGCCGGGCGGGAATGTGCGGAATGCGCCGCGCGGCCCCGCGCTGCTCGGGAGCCAAGACCCAGGTTCCCGCGGCGCGCGCCCTTGGCTCCCGTCTCTCCCTAATCGGACCGCACCCCCAGCCCCTGCCGGATCGCCCGGGACTCGTGGGAGTAGGTCGAGTCCCGCGCAAGCAAGCCCCCTGGCGGGGTTTGGGGACCGAGCGCGGCCCATCGGGTTCCTCAGACTCCGCACGCCCAGAACTCCCCAGAGGGTCCAAACCCGCGGCCGCTGCCACCAATCCAGAAGGCACGAGGCAAGGGGACCTAAAAGCAGGGGTGTAGGGTGTTAGGTATGCCACCCCTCTCCCTGCACCTGGAAAAGAATTTCCTTTCCTTTTTCCCTCTTGGCAACAGTCTGGAGCCCCAGAACTCGGAGGTTCCCCATAATAAACACACGGACCGTCCCTCCGGCCATTCCCCCCACCCCCACCCCCAAGGCCAAAGCGAAGGATGGAAAAGCTCTCGCTTTCGGGCATTCCAAGGGCACAAAAAGCAGGCACGAGGACGTGGTCACATCCCGAACACAGCCTCCGGGAAAGCGCGGGGATGGGGAGCGAGTGACCAATCCTCCAGGCGAATGAGGGGGCGTCGAGCCCTAACCCGGGGGAGGGGGGGCGGGGAACATTGCGGGAGCCCAAAGGGTCTTAGTACGGGTCCTTCTTGGGGAAAGTCCGGCTTCAGCGAGCCAGCGGGCTGGGTACCGAGCCCCCCCACCCACTCACGCGAGTCTCTGCAGGGGTGCTCCGCGCGCTCGCCGGGGGCGGGGTCTGGTCCTCCTAGAGTAGGCCGCAACCCAGCTTGGCCCAGGGATACACGGATGGGACTTGGCCTCCTAGGCATTACCCCCCCCCCCCACCACCACCACCACCAATTTCTTTGCTTCGGTTGGGGGTGGTTATCTGCTCAGTCCCGGCGCCCATTCCACCGCACTTGGCTAGAGACCGGCCAGGGGCCTGAGCCAAGAGGCCAGGGAATTCCTAGCGAATTGGGGGGTTTCATATTGCTCAGGGCACCAGGCTATGCTTTTTGAGGGACGAAGGTCAAGGAGTTAGATGTTTTCACCCCTAAAAGTGCACCTTCTCCCTAGGGAAACCAGAGGGGTTGTGAGTCGCCGCCCCCCTCGCCCCCGGCACCACCTGTTGGGGTTTGCTATTTAACTCCGGGCACACCTTGCCCACGGCCCTCCGAGCTCGGGGAGGAGGGTCCCGTCCCCGCATCCTGCCAGGCAGACGTCTGGGGCTCGGGTAGGGAGTTGATCTGTGCGTGGCTGAAATTAACTGATCAGGGGCGGAAGGAAACAAGTCCGTGGCTTGGGACGGTGGGAGGTGCGGCTGCCCCTGTTCCCAGCGTGTGGCTGTCCCAGGTGGGCGCCGGACCCAGAGCTCGTCCCGACGCTCCCCGCAGCTTTGGAGCGCCAGAAGCCCGCCCGTGCAGCCCAGGCGGAGATACTCAGCGCGTGCACCCCCAGGAGGCGAGCAGGGTGAGGGAAGGGGAGGGGACCCCAGCGCCCTGGGACCCCGCGGCCCGCATTCGGAAGTTTTCCTGAGCGACTTAATGGCTGTCCTTTCAAGTCGCCGCCAGGTATGCGGCTGCAGGTGACCCCACCTGGGTGCGCCCCCTCTGGTCCCGTGTGGGGTGGGCGGCTGCGGGGGGTCGATGTCTGTAGATCATCTCCACTGGGGCCTGCGCCCCCTCCCCAAAGCCCCCCGCGGGGCGGGCCGCAGCCGCAGTGCGCGCAGGGGTCGGCGCCTCCGCGGGCAGGTTCCTGAATGAACGCGCTCCCTTCCCCCGCCTGAATGAAGGTTCCCACAGCCAGGGACGGTGGCAAACGCGCCTGCCGCGGAATTCGCCCTCTCGGGGCCGGAGATCCGCCCTGGCCGGCCGCGGTCTCCCCTGGGGACGGGTGGGCGGCAAGGAAAGCGGGAAGGTGATTTAAGTCACTTTCGGATTTCCTTTCCAACCAACGCAGCGCCTTCCCGATCGGGTCCCTGGCCTTTTGTCTCCATATAGTCACCGAGAAATAAGCTCGGAGCACTTTAAACGAGCCCAGAACTCGCAGTTCCTGCCTCGTGGTAGGTTTTTAAAAGGCAGTGCAAAATTAAAACTGCTGCAGAAAAGTTTTTAAGAGTTGCTTTTCTCTTTGGAAAAAAAAATAAAAATAAAAACGCGTCCTCGGCACTCCTAGAAGCAGCCGCCCTCAAAGGCCCAGGGCCGGCGGCTCCCTCTGCAGCTCCAGGGACGCGTATCTGGGCTCCCCGGGGTGGGGGCTGGGCCGCTGGCGCTCCCCGCCAGGCCCCAAATTCCTGCGCCTCCCCCGCGGGTTCCTGGACGGCTCTTCACGCTCGCCCGCCGGGCTTGCACTTTTGCGCCCGTCCCTGAGCGGGGAAATCAACGAAGTTCCTAGTCGAGATCTGCCCGGTCCGCCTAGTAACAGCGCCGCGCCCCCATTGGCTCATGCTAATTCCAGTTTCCTCTGTCTTTCTCCGGGTTAGGGGGGAGCTCCCTCCCGGACCCGGAGCCCGTTTGGCCGTAGTGGGCGAGCCTCTTTATGACCCGCCGCCCCTCGCCGTCGCCGGCCGCCTAGGGCCCGGCCGGGCCGGGGGCGCCCGCGGGGCTCGGGACCCTCGCCCCGCCGAGCAGCGGTCGCCGGGCGATAGCGCGCAGTCCCATAAATCATCGGGGCAGCCTCCGGGTCGGGATTTTATGAATGAAAAAGCAGCCGGGCCGCCCTCGTGCGCGGGCTGCTGCTGCCGCGAGGCGCTCGCGTGGGTGCCCGGGGAGGGGGACACGGCGGTGGGCGCTCCCGCTCAGGCCACCCACCGCTTCTGAGGCGTGAGCCGGAGTAATTGCCCTGCTGGACCCGGAATTTCAGTAACCCTAATTCCCGGAGGGGGAGGGGAGCGCGAAGAATCAGCCCTGCGAGGGGTGTCTGGTCTCGCTGCGCGCACCCTTGCGAAGGGGTGGGGGCTTTTTCCTGCGTTTTCTTTGAGCCTTTACTGTTAGGGGATACGGCGGTTTGATGACCCTAAACTGTATTCGGAGGGAAGTAAATGAATGGTCTTCTTAATTGGGGGCAAGCAATGTAAAAACTCAAAAAAAGTTAAGATTGGGCAAAATATCTTTTTATTAATAAAAAGAAGAAGGCCCCAAAGACACTAAATCTGAACAAAAATTTTTAAAAACCCACTTTTCTGTATTCTTTTATTTGCCTCTTAAGGTAGCGATAACATTGGGTTCCCTCTCTTATAACCACTAATTTATATAGATTTTGTTTAAAACCTGATCAATACACCCATTTCTTTAACTTACAATTGTTCTAATTTTTGCCGGCCCCTGCCTTCCCCCCACAGGCTCACGAATGCAGCCCCGGGCTAATTGTAAAGGTGCAGAGATGTCCACACCCCCCGACAAAACCAATTAGGAAGCTTCCGGTGGTCTTGTCAGAGGCAAGAGAAGCGACTAATATTTCCAGCGATTTAATTTGTTTTTTAATTAAAAAATAAATCAGGACAGAGACCACTACTTTGCAGTCTTCCATTCAAGGAGTTTTCCTAGCTCTTAAATTGCCAGGATGGGGGGTCGAGGGCTGGGGGCGATCGGAGACCCCTGGAAGGTTGTATTGGCCAAGGTAGGAAGGCGACCCGCAGATCCCCCAGGCGAGGAGGACGGGATGAAGGAAAGGCTGGCCACCATCTTGGGTTGCTGCTGGAATTTTCGGGCATTTATTTTATTTATTTTATTTTTTGAGCGAGCACATGCTAGGCTGAAACCTCTTTATGGCTTAGGGATACCCCCTCCGGCATTTGCAACGACCACCCCCACCTCCGGCGCGGGGAAAGAAGCCTCCAGCAGGGTCACGGACTCTGCTCCGCGTCCCTGAGTGCTAAGTGGTTCCTGAAATTTACACGTGTTAATGAAAATGAAAGAAGATGTAGACTTGAGGTCCCTTGGCCGCCTCTCCGCCCGTGGGTGCCCTCGTGGCGTTTTCGGAAATGCGCCCATTCTCCCGGCTCGGATATAGGGTGTCTCCGAGCCCCAGAGTGCCCCCTCCATGCGGTCTCCCCCCGCTGCGTGTGGCCTGGCCGCCCCCCCACCCCACTTGTCCCCCCTGCAGAGCCACCTCCACCCACCCACCCCCGAATCCCGGGGGACCCACTCGGGGAGGGCAGACACCCCTGCACCCCTCTTCCCCGGCGGGGAGAAAGGCAGCCTCGGGCGATTTGCATTTCTATGAAAACCAGGCTTCGGGGCAACTCCGCCGCGGGGCAGGCGCGGCGCCTCCGGGATGGCTTTTGGGCTCTGCCCCTCTCCGCTCCCCGGCGCTCGGAGCCCGCGCCCCCTCCCCCTGCGCCCGCCCGCCCCCCCCCCCTCCCGCTCCCATTCTCTGCCGGGCTTTGATCTCTGCTTAACAACAGTAACGTCACACGGACTACAGGGGAGTTTTGTTGGAAGTTGCAAAGTCCTGGAGCCTCCAGAGGGCTGTCGGCGCAGTAGCAGCGAGCAGCAGCGTCCGCGCGCTCCGGCGAGGGGCAGACGAGCTCGAGGGAGCGCGGGGCAGCTGGAGCCAGAGCCGAGCGCGGAGCGACCCGGGACCCACAGCCGTCCCCAGGCCCCCCAGTAGAGCCCCAGCCATGGCACACCAACTCTTATGCTGCGAGGTGGAGACCATCCGCCGGGCGTACCCCGATGCCAACCTCCTCAACGACCGGGTGCTGCGGGCCATGCTCAAGGCGGAGGAGACCTGCGCACCCTCCGTGTCCTACTTCAAATGTGTGCAGAAGGAGATCCTGCCGTCCATGCGGAAGATCGTGGCCACCTGGATGCTGGAGGTGCGGGGCTTCGGGCGGCTCTTTAGGACTTTGCCTGCAACTTGTTGCCCAAACCCCATTTCTTTGCCGCTCGTCTCCCTCCCTTCTCTCCCACCCCAACTTTGAAGTTTGCCCGGGGTTTGCTAGGAATCGCGTTTTCAAAATATATAGATATTTTGGGTATTTTTTTGAACGAAAATGCGGTGGGGGGTGGGGTCATTTGAAATTCCTTATCCTGGCGGGGGTAGTCTGGGAGAGCGGTCGGGGAGGGGACCCTTCGGGGAAAACCAGTTGCCGGGGGCACCCCAATTGACTCGAGGGTGCGGGCCGGCGTCCTGGGCGCCCTTTGTGGCCCCCGCCTGCGCCCGAGCCTCCGCTGCGCCTCCTCTCCGGCTACACTGCCGCGGGCCGCCTGCTCCAGGGGGAGGGGGCATAGATTTGATTTTTAAATTAATATCCGTGGACACGTATGCAAGGGCCGCTCGTGCCAGTATTATGCGCCATCTTTGTTCTTTTATTGCAAAGCAAAAGTGTTTATTAATAATTGGGGGCAGGGTGGGGGCGGGGAGCGCCCGGCGAGGCGCTGGGGCCGCCGCGAGGGGCCGCGCGGCCGCTGCGAACCGGAGGGAGGGGCGCGGGGACCGAGCGCGGACAGCTTGGGGGGGACCCCGCTCGGGAAGAGGGGCCCCTTTGTTCAAGCTGCAAGTCCCGGGGCGCCCCGCACCGCCAGCCTGGGCCGGAGAGCACGCCGAGCTACAAGGTCGCGTGGCCCCCAAGACGCTGGGGATTGACCCTGGCCTGCAGGGGTCTCAGCTTGGGGGACCTGTCTGGAGCGAGCCGGCGGCCCGGGGCACACTTTCAGGCCTTCAGCGGGCTCCCGGGGGACCCGCAGATATTTTAAAATAATTTCTTGAAAGTGCGGCGTGGTGCCCTTGCGAGAGGGAAAAGGCGCCCGCGCCCAGGGGGAAGGGGGGCCCCCCGAGTTTGAATTCCTGGGGCTCTCCCCGGAGCCTCCAACGAGCTCTCGACCCCCGGCCTGGGTAAAGGGCCGCCCGAGGGTCATTTTCAGCGTTTTTTTATGTGCCCAGTTATTTTTTTTATATTTTTAAATATTTTTTGAAAAGATGACGTCTGGGGAAATGCGGCGCGGCGGCCTGGGACGCCACCTTTGTGTCTCGCAGGCGCTGTGAGCGCGGCGCCCAGCCCGGCGGCCCGCCTCGCGGCCCCGCACCCCATTTGGGGCGAGCCCCGGCCCGGCGGGCCCCAGAGCACCCACGCGGGCCGGGGTCCCCGGGGCGGGCCGCCCGCGCGCGGCGCACGCCGCCAGCCGTGCCCACTCCCGCCCCCACCGTGCCAGCCTCTTGGGGACTTTCCCTTTCAGTTTCGGGCTGGGTGGGCACTGGGGACACGCGGGGGAGGGGGTGCGGCAGCGGCGGCTTCAGCCGCCCCCCACGACCGACCCGCTGCGCGCTCGGGACCCGCCGCCCGGGCACGAGCTGTGGTGGGGGGCGCGGGGTCCCCGCGGAGGGGCCCAGCGGCGGCGGTCACGACGCCCGTGCCCCCCAGGTCTGCGAGGAGCAGAAGTGCGAGGAGGAGGTCTTCCCGCTGGCCATGAACTACCTGGACCGCTTCCTGTCGCTGGAGCCCGTGAAAAAGAGCCGCCTGCAGCTGCTGGGGGCCACCTGCATGTTCGTGGCCTCAAAGATGAAGGAGACCATCCCCCTGACGGCCGAGAAGCTGTGCATCTACACTGACAACTCCATCCGGCCTGACGAGCTGCTGGTAACCTGGGACCCCCCGCGGCCCACCCACGCCCCTTGAGCCCCAGGACCCCCTCCCCGTGGGGGGAGGTGCAGAGGGCGGGAGGCCCCACGCAGGCCGCTGCCGCACCCTACGCCCCGAGGGCTGGGGGCCGCATCGGTGGGGCTCCTTGGGAGGAGCGGGAGGGACCCCCGCCGCCCCCATCCCCAGCGCGCCCCACCACACATGGTCCCTCCGACTCCCACCTCTGCGGCTCCCCTAGCGCTGCCGAAAAGTGGGCGGCGCGCGCCCTCTAGCGACGGCGGCGCGGGCAGCCCGCGCGGCTCCCAAGGGCTTGCGTTCCAGGTGTGGCTCTTTTTGGTCCCCACTTGGGCACAGTTGGCTTTTTCTACGGCACCCTCTCTTTTTGGACCTCTGTTGGGGTGGCGTGCTGTCCTCCACTTCCCGGACCCCCAGCGTGCCCCGTGCCTTCGCTCTTGGGCACTGCCCCACGGAGCGGGGGAGGGGGACCCAGCCCCGCCCCTCTTTTTATGCCGGTTCACCCCACTTCCACAGCAAATGGAGCTGCTCCTGGTGAACAAGCTCAAGTGGAACCTGGCCGCGACGACCCCGCATGACTTCATCGAACACTTCCTGTCCAAGATGCCCGTGGCCGAGGAGAACAGACAGATCATTCGCAAGCACGCGCAGACCTTCGTCGCCCTCTGTGCCACAGGTAGGGCAGCTGGGTCCCGCTGCTCCCCGGCCTCCCTGGGGGCCCTCGCCCCTGCCGGAGGAGCTTCTTGCCCTCTGCCGCCGTTTCCCCGTCTGAAGAGCTGGTCCCCAGACCCCTCCTGCTCTCGGAGGTGCTCCTCTTCCCTTGGCCGAGTGCTGGGCTAGGTGAGGGGCGGTGGGGAGTCCCTTCCTGGGTCAGACCGCTGAGGCTGTCCGCAGCCACCAGCAGTGCCTTCGGGATGGGGGTGGGTGGTCCGCCGGGCTGTGGCCACTCAGTGCTGAAAAGGGTTTCCCTTGGCTGCCCAGCCTGCCTCCCCCATCACCAGTCCTTCCCTGCGTCCTCAAGGGGCCCCCTTCTGGCCTCTCCTGGGCTGGGCCACCTGCCAGGGGCGCCTACAGGGGTGGGGAGTCGGCCCACAGAGCCTGCACCAACCACGTGCTACGGGCGGCCCTTGTGCGGGGGCGGCCCGCAAAGGAACTTGGCTGCCTGAGGCCCGGCCAAGGGGCGCCTCCAGCCGCGGCTCAGCTGAGCACTGGGAGGGGCTTCAGAGCAGCCTGGGGCTGGGCTCGGCAGTTGGCAGCAGGGGCCAGTCGTCCCTCCCCCTGGCGGGGCTCTGGATGGTCCCTGGCGGCCCCTCCCTGACCCGGCCCTGGCCCCAGCCCCTGGGCAGCCATGGATTCAGCACTGGGCGCAAACTCCCACTGACACACGCTGGCGTTGCCTCTCATTTCCCCCAGCCCTTACCCTAACACCCTTTCTCTCTCCCTCTTTCTCCCTCTTTGTGACCTCTTTCTCTCTCCCTCTGATCACATGAGGTGGGCAACACTGCCTGGGGACCCAGGCCCCCATCCCAGCTAGCTCTGCAGTGGGCCACCTCTGCCCCCGGTCAGGCCTCTGCTGTCACCTGTGTTTGGGGCTCACCATGGGCTACCGGAGGGCCACAGGGCATCCAAGGGGGAAGTTGGCATCTATCACTCCCTCTCCACAAGCCGCAGAACCCCTAGTCTGGCACCTCCTGGCGCCCTCTTGATGTCAGGGTGCTATTTCTGGCTCAGGCAAGAGTCAGGAAGACTCTGCTGGCCTCCCATCATCCGCCGCCTGCTCAAGGCGTGAACCCCTCCTCCGAGCCCTTCCAAGTGAGAGGAGTGGGGGACACTGTCGTCCGGATGGATCTGAGGGGTGGCAGCTCTGGCCCTGGGGCAGGGCCGGGGAGCCTCCCGCTGGCCATCCCCTCGGCCTCCAGGGGCCAGCCCCGCAAGCAGGCAGGGAGGCGTTCTCTGACTGGGCCGCCTCGGAAGAGAGAGGCCTCTGGAGACGTCCAGGCAGCCTTTTATGGAGCTGAAAGTGGTTCAGAGAAACGGCAGAGTTTCCTGGAGATAATGTAAGGAACAGTTCTTGTACACCCTTCCCCCTACCCCCCCAGGATGGCGGGGGCTCCCCTCTCCCAGAACCCTGGGGAAGTGGGGTGTGTAGTCCGTGTGCAGGGCTTGGCCGTGCGGGGAGCTGCCCTGGTGCAGAGGCTAAGTGGGCTTCAGTGCGGACCCCCAGCTGGCCCGCGTCGGTGTGCGTGCACGCGGCCGGCCTCTAAGACTGGGTCCAACAAGCACCCCCGGCCTGTAGGGTGCAGCCTGGGCCCAAAGCCCTGGGCCTCCCCTGAGGGAAAGTGGGGGGGGGGACCCAGCTTCTCCTAGGTATTAACTCCGGGGGTGGGGGTCAGGCAGGCCAGGAGGAGAGGGTCACCCGCCCACCCACGTCCAGGGACAGATTATCCGGGTCCAGATGTTCACCTGTGCGGTTCAAACGTAACAGAGACGCAACCTTGCCCTTGGTCACAAGGGGACCTCTCACTTTTGAGTGGCTGCTCCGAAACGGGTTGGCAGAGACGGAGGCCTGAGCAAAAGCCCCAGAAGATATTTTTGTCCTCCACGGAGCAAGTGTCCCTCTTGATGGTGCCGTGAGGGGAGGGGCTCTGTTCTTGCTCTGGGGGCCCGCAGACTCGGGCTCCCACACGAGTGCACATGTCCCCCACACCTGGTGAACATGTATATTCATTTGTGTGTCCTGGAGTTTTCCGGGCGCTGCAGTGGGTTAGGTAAGCAAACGACCAGGGCTGACAACTCATCAGGACTGACGAGTAGGTCTTAGCGAGAGTCCACAACGCCTCTGGGGGTCGCTCTGGCCACAGGACCCCTGCCCTGCTCTGCACCCAGCCAAGTGGAGACGAGTGTCAGAGCTTTGGGGATGCAGTTGGGTTCCTCCTCATCTCCACACGTAAGCCCTGCAGTGTGCACACACAGGCACACACTCATCTACACGTGTGAGCCCTGCACCGTGTGCGCACACATCTACGCTGTACCATTCATGCATGCACATACTCATCTCCACACGTAAGCCCCGCATTGCGCACACACACACACACACCCATCTACACACACACCTGCGCTGTACACACGTACATGCTCACACTTGTGCACACACGCACACCCTTCTGTGGGGAGGCGGGCTCCAAAAGCGAGCCTGTCCCCAGCTCATCGTCCCTTGTGGACGGGAGTCTCAAGGTCCAGCCAAACTAGTTGGGACACGGCAATTTCTGTCCCCGCCTGACGGGCCTCAGTGAAAAGCTTTTCATTCGTGGCTCTGGCCTCCCAGACTTGGGGCCACTGCTCCAATGTCAAGTGGGAAGGAGGTGGCTGCCTCTTAAGAAATTTCTTTTTCGTGATACCCAGTGGTGGGCCCTATCGCCCCTCCAAGGTGGCTCCCCAGCCCCCAACCTGGCCACGTTCCTTTGGCCAGGCCTGCTCTCTGCTCCCCGGAGGAGAGAGCAGACCCTCAGGCCCACCAGGCCCTGGCACTCCGTGCATGCAAAAGGGAATCAAGGGTCTGACAAAGATGCCACGCTGGTCCCTCCCTCTCCCCCACCCCCTGATCGAGAAATCGACGGCCTTTCCCACCAAAAATTCTTCAGTGCGTGCCCCAGAATGGCAGCCCATTGGCCCCACATGGCCATTTACACATCCTTACCACTCTCCCACCTTTTCATGATAAGGGTGGGAGGGGCTGGGGCTCAGCCTAGGGGCAAAGGCAGGGGTCTCCCCCATCCATCACTGAGCCGTGCCTCGGGACAGAGGGGAGGAAGTGCTGGCAACTGGCAGGTGAGGTAGTGAGAGGATGCTACCTCCGCTGGGTCCCAGGAGGAAGGTCTGGTAGGGACGGGCACCCCATGCCACCATGGGGACCGATGCCCCCCACCCCTACACACTCCTGGGGGACGGTGAGACCCGTGTGCCCCTCCCAGAGTGTAGACCTGACAAGCCACCCCCCTGTCCCTGGGGCCTAGCAGCACATCTTGTCCCTTGTAGTCTGTCACCTTTTTTGATTTTTGTGGATGAGCAACATGTTCTCAAGGCTCAAGTACAGTGATGTACCTTGTCCCTTCCCCAGAGGCTTTGCAGTTTGCTTTTGCCAATGGTGGCTTCCTCCGTTTGCTTTTCCGTTTTCAAGGGAACGTGACGAGCTCATCGGGTGACTCCCAGGCCTGGCTTCGGTCCAGCGCTGGGTCGTGCGTGCAGAATCCGCCCAGGCCAGCCGTTGGCGGGGACACGCCCTGATGCAGAGCTGGGGCTGGGGACTGCCGGGACCACCGGGTCCTGTGGAGGGTCCCCAGCTCACGGCCCCCTCGCCTCTCTCCCTCTCTGCTGCAGACGTGAAGTTCATTTCCAACCCACCGTCCATGGTGGCAGCTGGGAGCGTGGTGGCCGCCGTGCAAGGCCTGCACCTGGGAGGTTCCAACAGCTTCCTGTCCTGCCATCGCCTCACTCGGTTCCTCTCCAAAGTGATCAAGTGTGACGCGGTAAGTGACGGAGGGCACTGCTCCCGAGCCAGCTTGGCAGGGCCCATCCGGCACCAGGTACTAGAAACTTCTAGTACATGGGGGCCCAAAGCTGCAAGTTCACTGATGGGAAATGCCACGCTCGCGCCAAGGCCCCAGAAGTGATGGGGGTGGGGACCATGTGTGGGACGGGACATGTGCCGGATTCAGAGGCATGGGACGGCTGCCGGCCTCTCCCCGCTCTCCTGCAGCTCCTTTGGAAGGAGAAGCATTTCCCAGAACCTGCGGGCAGGCCAGGAGGGTCCTCGGGCTTCTGGGGCTCCCAGGGCTCCCAGGGGCAGGCGGGAGCCATACAGCCCTCCCGGGGAGCCGTCCAGGAAGAGGGGCCACAAGGCAGGCCTGGCAATGATCCGTGTCCTAATGGCATGTGAAGTTGGGGCCCAGTGGGGCTTTGTCTGAGCCACAATGCGGATGGCTCGTAAAAGGGAGCTTGAAAGGGCTTCTGTGAGGTCTGCAGATGCAACAATGGCCCGTGGAGACAACCGCGTGTTTTATGGCCCCCTTTGAGTGGCTGCTGCCATTGGCGCCCCGAGCCGGAGCCGATTGTGTCGTCCTTCTTCGAGATGCCAGTGTTTGATTGCCGCTTCCTTTCTTGTCTTAGAGAAAGAATGGAAATCCCAGTTACGGGGCTTTGTGGCCTTTACTAGATTAGACCAGCGAGGTTGGCAGGTCAGCCCTCAGCCTCCGCTGGTCTGCCGAGTGGGAGCGAGTGACCGCCCTGACCCCAGTCCAGGTCTGGCTCGGACTCGGGCTGCCTTCTGGGGGTCCACTCTCAGGGGCCCCGGAGGCCCTATGGGCCCTAGCGGCCGCCACCCCACCACACCATTCAGGGAAGGAAAGCCGGGCTATGGGGAGAAGCCTGCCCATCCCCTGCCTGGAGGGGACCACATTCTTGCTTCTGTCCTTGCTGGGAGCAGGTGGTTCCCGGAGGGGAACCCTCTCAGTCTCTGTGCTTACTGGGCCTCCTAGAGGGATGGGGTGTCCTGGCCGGCTGCTGGGGGCCAGCGTCGCCCTGCAGCTCACCCTCGGTGAGGGAGACACCACAGACAGCCTGGGCACGGACAGCTGCAGATCGGAACCGCGATCACAGCTGGACTGAAATTCGTTGGTCTGGTTACCCGGCGACCAGCGCAGAGGAGCCCAGGCACGGGAAGCCTGGGCCTCGGAGCCCTCCGTGTCCTCGGGCTGGGAGCTTCGTCTGCCCCTCCCCAGAGCTGGGCCCTGGTCACCGGCGTGGCTCTTCCCAGGCCGCAGCTGCAGGTCTCTGGCCGCGTGGAGGAAGTTAGGGCCATGTGGCAAAGGGGAGTCCCTTCCTGCACCCGCGGCCTTCCCCTCCGCCACACAGTCCCCCCCGAGTCCCCGGCGGTAAGTAAACCATTGCCCGCAAGAGCTGCCTGCAGAGAGCCACTGCGGGCGGGCGGGTAGGAGCCATCTGGCCTTGGGGCTGGGACTGGGGGGCTGTACTGGGGGTTCGGATCGGAGCCCGAGGAAGTTATTAGGAGTCCCGCGTCCCTCGCCAGGCCTTCTGGGCCTCTGAATCCTCATCTGCAAAACGCTGTTTGCACCTACCCCACCTTGCTCACTCGCCGTGACCAATGCAGAAGGAGTGGGGTAGGAAAGCCCTCCATGTGAAAATGTGGAGCTCCATGAGCGTGACCGAGCCCCAGGGAGGGGTTCACTCAGAACCCTTGCTGGCCTGGAGCCACTGCTTTTGGGCAGGGAACACCTGTTTCCAGCCCCACCTGGTTGGGAGCTCAGCGGCACCTTCCCCAGGCACGTCCATGGTTCCCCGGTTCCTGGGGGAAAGGTGCAGGTCTGTTTTCCAGGCTGGGCTGGAGACTCTCTGTTCTAGGATAGAAGCCCGATGGGGCATGCCGGGAGTTGGGACGGCAGCCCGCCACCTGCACCTCAGCTCCTGGGAGAGCCTCCTGGGCGTGGAGACCTTGAGGAGGGCACCGGGCCAGACCAGTGCGTTCTCCCAGGGTGCAGGCCAAGGGGGCAAGGACGGAGGAAGATAAAGGGTCCAGGCACCCCACGCCCCGGGCCACCCAGTGTTCATCCTCGGTCATGCACGGCCTAACGCTTTTGACGGCCATTCATCATGGAAGGCTGGGTTCACTTCGAGGGCTGATGTGGCAGAGGTTAAATCCGAAAAGCAGGGTTCAGGGGGCCTCTCCAGCCTGATGGAACAGCATCGAATCGGCCAAGGGCAGCGACTGGGCCAGCAGAACATCAAGCAGGGATCAGGCTGGCCGGGGAGATGCCAGGTGGGTGGGCAGGGGCATCCTCGTGCACGGAAGATGGCCAGTGGCGCTGTGGCCAAGCGGGGACCCATGCTGGTCGGTTCTGGAGTTTGGGCAATGGCCCCAAGTTCTTCACCCGATTTGGGGGAGGCAGTGCCTTACCCCAAACGGACGAAGTGCTGGCGTTTGGGAGGGACTGGCCCACAGGCCTCCACCTGAGGACCCCTGTCTCCCCTCTGGCCAGGACTGTCTCCGCGCGTGCCAGGAGCAGATCGAAGCTCTGTTGGAGTCCAGCCTGCGCCAGGCCCAGCAGCAGGGCCTGGACCCCAAGGCAGCGGAGGAAGAGGAAGAAGAGGAGGAGGCCGACCTGGCCTGCACACCCACCGACGTGCGAGATGTGAACATTTGAGGGGGCGCGCGGCATGGGAGGGGCCGGCCCCGGGTGCTGCCCTGACAGGACCGCGCTCCTCGTCAGGACCGGTTACCACCAGAAGGGAAAAAGATTCCTTCTCCTTTCCTGTCGTTTTTTTTTTTTTCCTTTGCTCTTTTTCTCTCTTCCATCTCTGACTTAAACAAAAGAAAGAAAGTACCCAAAAAATACTGTTTAAAAAAAAAAAAGAAAAAGAAAAAAAAAGAGAGGCAAAAAAAAAAAAATAGTATTTGCATAACCCTGAGCTGGGGGGTGGGGGGAGGTTTGCTACAAAATAGAGGCTCTTACACCCCTAACGGACTAGATTTTATACGGATGTGTTCGCGTCTCTGTCGTAAGGATAGGCATTAACACAAGGAACGAGTCTGCGAGGGAGGACTAGATTTGATGCTTTCTGTGTTTCACACAAAACAAAAAAAAAGCATAAAAACATTTTTAAAAAACTAGAAAAAAGCCAACCAGCCGTTTTTGGAGTAGAAGAGGATTTTAGGTAGCAACCATGTTCCTTAGCGTGGCTTCGTGGTGGTCCTAGGTCCCCCGCCCCTCGCTCGTGCATGTAGTCACTTTATAAGCCCTTTGCGCGTGTTTTATTTTATTCCGTAGGTAGGTGTGTAAACTCTTCACCTGTCCGTGGCTGATGGAACCTCAGTTAGCATAGCGTAGAGCTCGGCGAGGTCGCGTGCTGGCCTGACCCGGAGCGGGTGGGTGGCTGGGCCCGGGGCCAGCGGCGCAGCGGTCCCGCGCTGCTGAGAAGAGATCCCGCCCTAGCGACGTAATATATTCTATTTTTATAATCGTCCTATTTTTGTAGTTGCCTGTTGATGAGATGCTGGTTTTTCACCCCCCACAGACCCACAAGCCTGCTCACATCCAGGTGAAACCCACAGCTCCTTTTTTTTTTTTTTTTCCTTTTCCTTCCTTCTCAATATTCTAGAACCATTCCATTTCAAAGCACTTTCGATCCAGTGGTTATAGGGAATCTCTCGTGTCTGTTGTGTGTGGAGGGGTGGGGGCGCGTTTTCTTCATGGAATGGTTTGGGAATATTTGCGTCCTTGTGTGCGGACGGGATGGTGGCGAGGCAAGTGAGGTCACTTATGGAGTTAGGGGGAGGGGATGTTCTTGAAGGCGAGCTTCCGGTCAAGAAGTACATTCTTACGTTGCCAGGGTGATGTGTTCCTTTCTCTGTAGAGCAGTGGAAGTTCGGGAGTCCTTGGTGCCAACTGGTGTTTGAAAGCGTAGGAGGCCTTTCAAGGTTGACCTAGAGAACGCGTAGTTTAAGGCTTAGGAAGGTTTTTAAACACTAAAATATATAATTTATAGTTAAGGCTAAAAAGAATATTTATTGCAGAGGATGCTCGTAAGGCCAGTATGATTTATAAAGTAATGCAATCTCCCTTTGATTCACACACACACGCACACACATGCACGCGTGCGCGCGTCTTTGACGTTGTAGGTTTCATACAGTTTGTCCAAGTTAGGTCCTTTCTCATAGGAGAGAGAAAAAGATCCTAAGGAATAACACAGAGAAGCACGGATTTGGCTAATTCGGCCTATCTTACTTAAAAACACTTAAAAACACATTCAGCCCCAACATATTCTTGTCCCCTGCCCCCCTCCTTTTGAAAAAAAGGTTAGCAACCAATAGACAATTTGCACATCTTGGCTATGTACCTTTTCGTGATGACTACGTAGGGAGAGTCGAAGGCGGCAAGGGCACAGGGCTGGTGCTCAGCGAGGGCGTAGGGGGCACGGGTGGGGGCCGAGCAGAGGGCCGACGGCGAAACCACGCGGCGGCCAGGTGGTGGCTCGGTCTCCTGATCCGCTGCTACCGATGACCTCCCAGCACAGTTTGGAAACCCATTCACATCGCTTCTCTGTATCTCTTTCACATTGTTTTGCTGCTATTGGAAGATCAGTTTTTGTTTCTGTTTTACAATGTCATATACTGCCATTTTCTAGTTTTAATTTTCTCATAGAAAAATGTACTAAGGATGCTTTATTTTGTAGATTTTTTTTTTTTATGTGATCAATTTTGACTTAATGTGATTACTGCTCTATTCCAAAAAGGTTCCTGTTTCACGATACCTCATGCTTCTCTTAGCCATGTGTAGACCCGGTGGTCCGGCTCCGGCAGGCAGACACGCGGACCGGGATCCCGAAATGGGCCTGGCGGGGGTGGGTTCGGGGCCGCAACTGCCTCCTTCTCCCTGCACCTGTAATGCTGGGCTGTCCCCCACCCCCGGCCTGGGACGGGCCACCTCCCGAGTCTCTACAGCTGTATTGTTCTTCCCGTGAAGCTATGGAAGTCGCACTATTATATTATTATGGTAACAGGTGCCGTCATGTGCCACCGCGGGGTTGTGCGGCGCGACTTGGTCACTCGGGATGAGCGGACTCGCTTCTGGACTTGGTGAACGTTCCGGGTGTCGCGTCTGTTAAGTACCAGTGTTCTGTGTGTTCTCTGCATTACAGCAAGATGCGGATTTAAAAACAAAAAGACTCCAGATCTCAGTGAAGCCGGCTGACCGTGCTGCGTGCCCGAGTCGCCCGGCACGCTGCCGAACCAAAAGGATTTGCACCCCGGGGTGGCCCCTGTCCCGGCTGGGTCAGCCTTGGGTGCTCCCTGGCCATTGGCAGGCCCTGGCCCCGCCCCGCCCCGCCCCTGCAGGAACGCTGCCTCTGCTTACCTCAACCGTTCTGGTGTGGCATCTCTGTGTCTGAACCAAACGGGGTCCTTGAGGGACGGTCTGTCCTCGTTGGGGGGAGGGGTTGAACGTTATGTGCGCTCAAAGGCCAAAGGCCGGCGGCAGGTCTGGGGAGCACAGCGGAGTCTGTCCTGTGACCAGCAAGTCTGTGAGGGTCTCTGGTGGGCGGGCACTTTTGGTCTGGGGGGTGCTCGGCTTGCACACTGTGGCGCAGACATGTAACTGGCACGTTTCCAGCAGAAAACAAAAGACAAACGTGAAAAGTCTAGAAATAAAATTGGTTAAAACCCCAGTGCGGGGCCTGCCTGTTTCCTGGGGCCCATGGGGAGCTAGGGGCACGGGGCTCAGAAACAGGGTCCGAGCTGCCGGGTCCTGGGCTGGGGGGATGGCAGGCGGGTGGGGGTTCCCGCCCCAGCACTGCCGATGTTTGGGGCCAAATGCTGCTGGGTCTCGGGGAGCTGTCCTGTGTACTGTGGGGTGTTTAGCCGCACCCCTGGCTCCCACCCGCCAGACGACAGGACAGTCTCTGGTTGTCACAGCCCAGAATGACTCCTGACACGGCCAGAGGTCCCCTGGTGATGCAGAGGGAGTCCGTGATGCTCTTGGTGGGGAGGACATGAGGAGGAGGGGGCTGGAAAGAGGTCAGGACACCTCTACAAGGCAGCTCCCACCACCTGAGCGGAGTTCTGACCCCAAGGGAGAGGCCCTGCCTGCTGATGAGGACCGGCTCCAGCTCACGTCTCCCCAGCAGCACACCCCCCCACCCCCAGGATATTTGCAGATGGGAAAATAAACAAGCCAGCTTTCGCTAACCTTCCTCTGGCGTAAACTTGCTGTTTGTTCTTGGTGAATCATGGTCCAGGTCCCAAGGCACCCCCACCCAGCTCGGGGACGACAGCAAAGTGCATGTTTGGGCTTCAGTCCGGTGGCCTTTCACACGGACCCGTGACCTGGGAGGCCTCGTGGACACCTGTGACGCTTGCCTCGGCTTCAGATGCACTTGGCCGATCTCATTTCCAGCCCGAGGTGGGGAGTGGACAGGAAAGGCAGCAGCAGGCCTCACGGCCAGCTCCGTGGGACCTGGGCCTCTTCCTGGAGTCTGGGGTCCCCAGTGTCCTCACCCCCCTACCCCTGGGGCTGTTGGGTGGTGAGTGCTCAGGAGGGAAGCCGGGTCATGTGCCAAGGATATCATTCCTTGGCAGGTCAGCCTGCTGTGGCTTTTATGAGGCTCCTGCTGTATACCAGCCCTGCCCCATGGGGTGACCCTCCTCCCAGCGGGAAGCCTCCAGATGGATGTCTGGGAGCAGGGGCTGTGGTGGCACGGGGACTGCCGCCTCCCCTACTGCAGCCCCACATCTGGCAGGTGCATGCTTGGAGCTCTGAAAGGGTCTCCGACACAGCAGACCGAGGGGCCGTCAGGGCCGGGTAGTCCTCTAGCCCCAGGGGCAGGCCCGAGGTATCCTGAGGAGTGGTTCTGGGGAAGCAGAGGTCACAATCTCAGCGCATCAGGTTCAATCAGAAATGAGTGTGACCAAGTGGGGAGCCTGCACAGCTGGTCCGTGGGCTCAGTGCAAGGGCGGTGAGACGTGGAGGGGGAGCTGGAGCCCTTGCAGGGCAGAGGGCAGTGGGGAGAAGGGCTCTGGAGGTTCCCCATGCCCCGCCTTGGGTCTTGGAAGACCCTAGGAAAGGACTCTGTAGGCCTTACCTGGCAAACCACCCACCCTGTCCCCTGGTGGGAGGTCTGGCTGCCCCTCGAATCTGTATGGGTAACAAATGGCCTTTGAAGGACTTCTGAGACAAGTCGCCCCCTGCTGTCCCTCTCCCAAGCCCAAAGGCCTGTCCTCGCTGGGCCCCACTTCCCACCACCTGAGGGGCCTCTAGCTCCTTCCAGCTCCATCCAAGGTCCTGAGACCTGAGCCAGCTCTCCCCTTCACCCCTGTCTCTCCCCACCCATCATCCCCCCCACCGCTCCCCACTCACCCATGTTCCTCCAGTGTCTACCCACAGGACTACAGGCACTACGAACTACTTCCTGCCTCCCTGCCCCTGAGGGGGCGCTCCCGACAGGCGCTCCCACCCCTGGCTCTGGAATCATGATCCCTGGGTGTCCCCCACTCCTTGAGGACAGGTGCTCACTGTTCCTTCTCCGAGGCCCCATTCCCAGACTGGTAGGTGCTCGGAAGTGGGAACGCGGGCACAATGGAGAGGGCAGTAGGCCAGGGCCCACGGGCTAGGCCCAGCTTTGTGAGCTGCAGGGTGGCAGACATCGCCTGACCCAGGGGGGGCGGGCAGACCCCTGCACCATGAGGACTCAGCACTGAGCTGGAAGGTGAGTCAGGTCTGCAGAGGTGGGCACTGCCAGGCTCCTAGAGGCCACAGCCCCAGCCCCAGCATCAAGCTCGAAGAACTCATCTGAGCCCGGGGCCCCAGGGGCTCCTGGAAGCCTCACTGCCCGCACATCTTGGCTCTGCAGGTTGCTGGGGAGGACGGTCCCACCACGGGCCACTCCCAGCGGCGGCCAGGGCAGCACTGGCTCCAGAGGGCACACCTGTGCCCGGGGGTGCCGGGGGCCACATGCCAGCAGGCCTCTGCAGCGCACAGGGCTCTGTCATCCCAGGAATGCCTTTGATCAGGAGTTTACGCAGCGAGGCTTCTAATCCGTTTCCCACAGCCCCCTGGCCACACTGAGGCCCAGGGCAGACAATAGCCCGCGCACAGTGGGCGGGCAGCTCTGGCCTGGGCCTTGGGGCCCGCATCCCGGGCATCGGGCATCGTCACCGTCACCGCCACGCAGGGTCGGGGAGAAGAATGCGGAGCCCTCCTGAGGGGGCCTCAGTGAGCCTTGAGCCTCAGAGGAGGCGGGGGCCAGGAACCCTTAACATTTTCAGCTACATCTAGTGGAGACGGGCCAATGTCTCCACACACGGCCTCCCTGCGAGCTGCGTGCGCATCCCAGTCCCCGGCCCCCGGCCCCCCAGCGCGTGGCCAGCCCAGTGCTCCTTGCCCTCGTCCCCAGGAAGAGTCCCAGCTCGCACTCACCGAGCACACACGCCGGACCCAGCCTTGTGCTCAGGGCCCCACGCAGTGTCTCCCTAAATCCTAAAACCACCAGGTGAGTGGCCCTAGGTTCTCGCGGCTAAAGTCTCCCTCTTCTAGACCAAGGGCAGCCAACTCTACAGAACGGGGCTGAGCAAGAGGCCACGGCTGGGCTGGCTACAAGGTCTCCGCCCCACTCAGCCACACCCTGGGGTGAGAAAGACGGTGGAAGGACATGGAGGAGCACAGCTGAGGGCCAGCAAAGCAGGAGGGTGGAGGGTACCTCCTCTAGAAAGCCCTCCCTGCCCACCTTCCCCTTCCCTCATTCTGAACAACCCCTTACATGCTCCCCAAGTGCCTTCAAATCCTTTTCTGACCCTGAGTGGAGAAAAAGGCGTGTGAATATGAAATGAAAAGTAAACCATTGCCCTCTGCTAGGACAGTTCGGCTTGTACACAGACATTGCCCTTGGTCCCGATGACTCACATTCCAGAACTCGATGACACAGCTCCAGGTGAAACGTTTTCTCTCCTCTAAGTCCTCGGTCAACATTCTTTCCCCGAAGCTGCTCAGGGTGGCTGCTATAGACTAAACTGCGTCCCCCAAATTCCAACGCTGAATTCCTGAGCCCCGGCACCTCAGGACATCACTGTATCTGGAGACGGGGTGGGGGGGGGTCTTTAGTTTTTGTTTTTTAAAGATTTTATTTGTTAATTTGACAGAGAAGAGACCACAAGCAGGCAGAGCAGCAGGCAGTGGGGAGGGGGAAGCAGACCCCCTGCTGAGCAGGGAGCCCGATGCTGTGGGGCTTGATCCCAGGACCCTGAGACCATGACCTGAGCCAAAGGCAGGGGCTTAACCCACTGAGCCCCCCAGGTGCTCCTGGAGATGGGGTCTTTAAAGAGGTGATCGAGATAAAATGAGGTCACCAAGGTGGGCCCTGATCCAGCATGACCAGGATCCTTACAGGACAGACATGCACGGAGGGACGACCCCGTGAGGACCCAGGGAGAGCTCAGCCATCCTCACACGAGCAGAGAGGCCTCAGGAGGACCCCGCCCTGCCCACGCCTGGACCTCAGGCTTCAGCCTCCAGGACCAGGGGACGGTACGTTACCTGTTGGGGGACCCTCATCTGTGGTGTCTGTTATGGGGCCCGGGTAGACTAACAGTGGCACAGGATATGCTGGGAATTTCCAACAGGAAGGAGGGAGCAGGCCAAAGCTTTGGGAAACCAGTGTTTTGTTCCATCAGAAAAGAACAAAACCCGCGCCGGGGAGCTCCTAAACTCAAGGCCGATCTGGACAAAGGTCAACATCCAAGAGAAGCAGGTGCACAGGATGGGAGCAGGTGTGATGGGGGTGCGGGGCAAGCAGGACACCGTGCCTGCGAAGGACGGAAACCCCTGGAACAGCCGTGAGCTAGTGGGACGATCGTCAGCTCATGCAACGTGAGGTCTGAAAGCAGAGCAGCCCACGGCTGGCTGTCAGCGGCTCAAGCACACCGGGGCCAGGTGCTCTCCAGCGCTCAGACATGCCCTGCTGCAGCTTCAGCCGGAGCTGGCGGTCGGCTGCCTGTAGTGAGCCCAGGTGTCACCGCCACAGGACAATTTCCACAACAGATCCGCTCCCTCCGTCGTGACAGCAGCTCTCCCAGAGGGAGAGAATGAAGGAAGTGTCACGATGGCCCTGTGTGCTGTCCCTGGGGTCTGCTGGTGTGACCAAAGGTTCCCAGATGCCGCATCCAGGCGGGCCCAGGCCAAGCCCGATGTCCAGGGGAGAGCTCTGAAGATCAGCTCCACCCGCCCCCCACCAGGGGCTGCCCGAGGCTCACACAAAGCCCCGGAACAGGAGGGGCCGAACTGTGGAGGACAGAGGAGGAGTCTGGGCCAGTTACAGCTGCTGACGGTGGCTGAGCCAGGGTCCCCGAGGAGGAATGAAACCCCCCCGAAGGTTCATCACGGGGGACCACTTTCTCACAGCAATCAGGTCTACGTGGTTTAATGAGACGCGTGGGCAGAAATGCAACCGGAAGCAACAGCCTGGCCCACTCAACGCGCACCTGCCCTCAGACCTGGACCCCAGATACCGTGGGAGTAAGAAATGAATTTGCTGGGGCACCTGGGTGGCTCAGTGGGTTAAAGCCTCTGCCTTCAGCTCAGGTCGTGATCCAGGGTCCTGGGATCGAGCCCCGCATCGGGCTCTCTGCTCAGCAGGGACCCTGCTTCCTCCTCTCTCTCTCTGCCTGCCTCTCTGCCTACTTGTGATCTCTGTCTGTCAAATAAATAAATAAAATCTAAAAAAAAAAAAAGAAATGAATTTGCTGGATGTCACATTATTAAATGCTCCCAGACAGTTTTTTGCTTTAAAATGGGCTATTTATTTTTCTCTCCACTTATCACCACAACAGAGAACTTAGAAAACACAACCACCCACCAAGGAAAACCACCACAGTTGCCCCACCCCACCCCCTGGCCCATCCCACTGGCGAGGGATGCCCGCAGCTGGCCTTTGTGGCCGCAGGACCCAGCCAGGGGTCAGGTACTGTCTGTAGCCGTAAGCACACCAGCTCTCAGGAACTCAGCGGGGACCGAGTCGAGGGCCATGGCCAGGGACGCACATGCCAGCATGGCAGGATCAAGCCCCAGTCTCTTCCTCGGCGCACTGGCCAGGGGAACCAAAGGAGAGGGAAACAAACACCTACCCCCGCTCCTGCGGGGGCCCCAGCCTGGAGTCTCCGGCACATGCTCAGGACCACCAGCTTGTGCGGCAAAGCAGCAATCACTGGAATGTTCCAGAATGATGTTAAAAACTGGAACTGATTCATGGTTACCCCTTTATTCACCTCATGCCTGACTTTCAGACACGCTGCCTCAGAGAGAAGCAGGCGGACCTGCCAGCAATGCTGAGGGCATCCCCCAGAGGGCATGGGCCGGGCAGAGGGACGCCCCAGAACCAGTGACAGAACCCCCTGTCCCCCCCGACCCATACCTCCCCTGGATACAGATGCCTGCGAAGTGCGGGCAGAAGACGAGAGAAGCCGCGTCACAGGAGAAACGCAGTGTCCTCAACACAAGGCTCCCCCAGTCTGCAGAGACCGCAGCAGCCCAACCTTCCGTCGTTAGCCTTACAGTACTGCCCCCTTAACCGTCTTAATGCTGCAGAGCCCCGGCCCCATCTGGAGACAGTGCGAAGAGCGTGTCCGGGATCCCTCCGAAGCCCCTCTCGGCCAGAAGCCGTGTCAGCGGGCCACAGGGACTCCCCGTGGCTCCATGGACCGCAGTGGAGACCCGCACACCCCGGGCCTGAGAGCAGCCGCCCGCTCCATGGCTGTGACCGTGCATTCCAGAGCCGGCAGCGCAAGATGCGGTGACAGGCGGGCGTGAGACCGGAGTCCGAGCTCTGCTGCCGATGCCCTTGCACCGGGCGGTCCCCGTGGGTCTCGGTTTCCTCATCTGTAAAGTGGGAACACTGGAGGGATTACACAGAACAGGGAAGCCCATCACCCAGCGCCGGCACATCCTCGGGGTCCGCCAATGTCAGTCCCAGCACACTGCCCACCACCTCGCCTCACGTCAAGCCCACATTCTCAGTTCCTAAAAAACTGTTCTTCTTAGCTCCGAGTCCAGGCTCGGGGCAGGGGAAATCCTAGCCAGAGCTGCCCCCACTCTAGAACCGGCCAGGCCTGTCCAGCCAGAAAGGACCCCGGGCCAGCAACCCTGGAGTGGGAGCAAGTGGCCTCACGAGGGCCCTGGCGGGCGCGCACTCACACTGCACAGCAGACAGGGCCCAACAAAGGCCAGGCCTGTGCGGAGGGGCTGCGGGGGGCACCCGGGCGACACAGGCAGCCCCCAGGGAGGAGGAAGCCCTTTCACCGACCAAACTGGAACCCTCCCCACAGAACGACGACTACTCCATCATTGTTTTGCCTTGAATCACATTTTTAAACACTTAACATACGGACATCTGTTCCTTGAGGTTTCGTCTTTGTTCATCTGTCATCCTCAAAACGAAAGTCCAGAACCTTCCGCACTAATTTTAAAGTCTGGCTGAACATTTAGTAATGAACAAAGCTGAAAACAGAAGAAAAAAACATGTACTCTTTTGAAATCTTACGGTTTCTACTCACAAATTAGAACAAAACTTTCTACCTGCAGCTTTCCGTGTCTACACCACCCCCGAAAGTTCTAACAACTGTTCCTTCTCTAGACCGTCTTCAGTTTTCTCACACAGAAACCCAAAAACAACGTGCTTCTGCGGACCATGCGCGGGGACACGCGCCCCGAGACCACGAGCGACGTGAGCGCCCGGGAACGTGCGCGGCAGGGGAGGAGAGAGGCAGGCCGAGCCGAGAGACACATGCAGCGGACAAACCTGTTTAAATTTCCCTCTAATTTTGTCCAAGTCCTCGTGAAGTTTATCGTAAGTGGGGTCATCGTAAGGGAACTTCTGAATCATCCCAAGCAACGACTCTAAGGCCTTCATCTTTTTGCTGTAAAGCACAGAAATAAAAACTCTTAGTCCTTTGCACACAGCGCGCTCGGCTTACGGGACGACGACGCTGATCACGTACTTGGAGCAACGATGCCTGAGTCCGGAAGCGCGAGAACGAGCTCCTCACTCAGTAATACTTACTCACCCAGCAACGCGCTCCCGCCCACAGCCCGTGCTCCGCTGCCGGTACGGAGCTTGTGACTGTGCTGCGTCCCAGCCAGGGAGCAAGCGACTGAGGAACCCCGCCACGGCCTCCTCTAGGTCGCCGACGTGGGAAGAGACAAAACCAGGCAAGGAGAGAGCGCTGGGTGGGACACGATCTAGCCCGCTGTGGGCCTGGGGCGTTCCGAGGCAGGTAGACCAGCAAGCCCCTCCCTCCAAAGGGCAGGACTCCGCATCGGTGTCTGGGTCCGGTTCCCTCTCCCAGGAAGGCGAAGCTCTGCAGGGAGGCGAGCTGGCTCCCAGCCCTCCGGTATTTCACTTCTCTGTGACATGCAGACTTAACAGCCACCTCACAGCTCGCGAGAGGAGAAGTGACCTCCGCCAAGCCCAAGACCTAGCCCAGGGCAGGCGCTTAGTGAGCGTAAGGTCTCCTCGCTTCCACCGGACCCTGGAGACCGGGGCTCACACCCGGGGCTGGGGGAGACCGTTCCCAGATGTGCGCATCTGGGAGATGCACGGCGATCCTGACGGGCACCCCCCCAGACCACCCGGATGACCGAGATGGGCCACCCGAGCGTCAGGACGCCAGGTGTCTGACTAAAGGAAACGCGACAGAACTCCTCCGCGGGATGAATCAAAAGCAACCTCCTAAGTACCGGCTCGGAACTGCTGTTCTCAGTCACATGCAGAGCCTGCGGCGGCAAGTCAGTGAACGAGAACGGCGATGGCCGCCTCTCTAAGCCAACACGACTGTAAAAGGTCGGAAGGGGTCCACTGAAGCAACGAAGCACTCGGTCTCGGGGGCGATGGAAGGCGGATGCCAGCATGCGGAAGCGGCTGTATTCCAGCGTGATAAAAATACACCCACTTTTAAGTCGGCAAGAAGCAACTCCGTCTTCTCTGGTCCGTGAAGCTACTTGGAAACACACCCGGCCCGTCACGCGGCAAAGTCAATGCCCGTCAGCAGGGCGTGCCCGCTCCCGGCTGGTCCAATGGCACAGCCGGCGCCAGACCTCAAGCTCAGCCCTGGCCAAACGCTGGCCCGCACGGCCCCCGCCACCCTGCTGGGGAGCCAGGGGTGGGGAGACACAGAAGCACCTCCAAGTCCATCAGAAACCCGCGGTCGTCGGATGTAAAGCGCCACCGCTTAGTCTGAGACACCGTCTGCCGTGGCTTCTCCGGCGTTAAAGGCCCCTTATGTCAGTGAATGGAAACGCAGATAGGGGTTTTCCCTTCCTTGGAACATAAGGAAGCGGAAGGTCCCCTATCAACCCTCTACCATTATTTAAAAAATTGTACTGACACAAGAATGCAAAAAACCATGACCCACAGCTCTAGGAGACAGGCTTCTAGGTTGTGTTTCAAGGAGACCCTCGGGCTGAGCCGGTGGGGAGGGGCGGCAGCAAGGTGCACCAGACGGCCTCCGCCAGTCCCCAGCCGCACGGCGCGGGTCCTCCTCCAGCTGAGACAGACGGGTGCGCGGCTTTAAGAGATCAGTGACCCCAGCTCGGAGGCTGGAGTGGAGCGCCAAGCTCAGCTTCGCCTGCCACCCAGTGGCGCCCCAACTTGCCAAACGTGACCTCGACCGCTCTCGCAGTCCTCAGAGGACCATCCCCGCCCCGGGTGCACCTCGACTCCTGTACATGTCTGGTCCACTGCCAGCGACTCGGGCTGCCAGAGCGGCCCAGGGGCTCCAGCAGGGTAGGGCAGGCCATCCCAGCATCACCCAGTCAGCCACGAGCACCCTCGTCCTCACATTCGAATACAGAGGTGCCCTAATTTGAGAAATTCAAAATATTTCAAGTAAGACAAGTCACTTGGACAAGGGAATGCGACCTTCCCTGTCGTCCTCCACTGTCCTTGGGCCCCTCCGGGGCCAGGAGAAGGCAGCAGGCATCAGAACGAGGCACGGCATTAGCTGAAGCCAACTTTGGGCTCCCAGGAGCGGCGGGACCGCTGAGCCACGAGTGCCTTTGACTTCAGGGCTTGTTCCCAGATTAAGACTGAAGACAGATGTGCAGCAGGGTCCCTGGGGCTTCAGCAGGTGGCGTACAGCGAGAACCGTTTCAAAAGATTAGAAATGACCCAAAAAATAGCTACCACTTACTCAGCACCACCAGGACCCAGACACGTGTCCAACACGCTGCCTTATCTCACTGGCACACCTAGTCGGCCGCGATAAAAACCCAGCCACGACAGAGTCCCCACTTCCGACCCTGGTCACACCGAGGCTACCGTACTGTGTTTGTTAGAAGCTCCGGGAAAGACGAACGAGAAGACAGAATCCACTTCAACAACCTTCACCAGCAGGGGATCTAAAATGCACTGGTGCTAGGATGCCTGCAGGGGACCGGCAGGCGGCTCCACGAAGGCTTGACAAGTAATAACGCGTGTTCGCCGGACACCAAAAACGAGATCTGCGCAAGGCACAATTTCCTGCAAATATCGGGAGCACATTCACGTCTGGTCTATTTTCTCCACGTGACAGATGAGGACACGGAGACAGGAACTGCCCGAAGTCAGGGGAAGCTATGGAGCCACACTCCTGCTCCACACAATGAGAAAGGACGCGGTCTTAGACCCTACCTGTCTTTCTCTGCGGCACAGCCGTGCAGGAGGCATCTCCAAGCGAAAGCGAAGCCTTGATAGCACCCAATCTGTGAATTCACAAAAAAGTGAAGACGGAAATTAATAAGCAAGAAGCTACATTCTGTCTAACTGTCGCGCTCTCCAAACTAAAGGTGGGGACCAAGGGCAGTGGTGCTTCTCATGCTGCAGTTCTGGAAGCATGTGCTGGGCATCAGACCCCGGAAGTCAGGTGGCCGGGCCTTCAGTGGGGCGACGGCCTCCCCGAAGGTCCCCTGGCTCCGCCCCTGGATCTCGTGCCCCGTGTGGTCCCCTCTAACCGCAGCTGTAGCCAGCAGAACACAGAAGAGGCACAGCGTGGTTTCTGAATTTAGGAGTAGCAAACATCACCCCTGCCATCGCCGGCCCGTGTCACGGCTGCTCCAGCAGCCCTGCGGGGGTGCACGCGGCAAGAGCAGCGGTGAGAGTGAACGGTCTCCGGAGTGGCTCTCCCAGCCGCAGGCGAGCCTTCGCATGGCCGCAGGCCTGCCTCCTGCCCCAGTGGTGCGGAGCCAGAAGCACCCAGTCCAGTGTCTACTGTCAGAGTCGCCCGCAGCAGACATCTACTGCAGTCCTGACGGCCCCCCAGGCTCTGCCGTTCAGAGCCGGTCTTCCGGAGTGAGGGCCCATCGAGAGGGAAGGGAAGAACGACCACGGACTCCGGAGGACTTCGGTGGGAAGGGGTGACCCAGGGCAGGGATTCGGGAAGCGGAAGCACCGTGATCCGCTGGCGCAAGCTGAGATGGCCGAGGACCGGCTCTCTCGTCCCCCAGACCACACCACCTTCTCTTTAGCAGGCACACCTCAGAGAGGCGGGTTCGGTTCCAGACCGACTGCCAACAGATGAACTGCTCGGTTTCCCGGCGCACGGGAAAGTTACGGTTGCGCCACACGGTACTCTACTCGGCGAGACGGCCCTGGGTCTGCAGAACACGGCGCGTACCTTCAGCAGAAAATACTTTATGGCTAAAAAACACGGACCATCATCCGACTCTCAGCAACTCGTCATCACGGGTCACACGTCACAGAAACAAATATAATAATCATAACGAAAAGGTCTGGAGCGATGCAAGAGTCAGCGAGGCGTGACAGAGACGAGAAGTGAGCAAATGCTGCTGGAAACACGGTGCCGACGGGCCTGCCTGGCAGAGACGCACAGACTTTCCACCTGACAACCTCACGCCACCTGCGGAGCTGGGGGCGAGGTGTGCCGGTGCCGCAGCACACCCTGTCAGTCCGGGTGAAGGACGCTGCCCCATCTACACTGTCCAGTCCGCAGCCGTTCCGAGAGGCCGGAACTCCTGGCTCTGCCACACTGACCGTCGCCGGAAATTATAAACTATGAGAGAAGAAGATTCACTTCTAAAAATTGGGGGGGGGTCCCACTTACCTCAGATCCAATTCTGGCTCCATGCAACGTGCCATACTGTCTTCCTTCAATTATACCCAAACTGTTGCCTTCTTCGTAGCCTTCCTGGTAGCCTTCCCCGTGAAACCTGTGATGGAGAGGCAAGCTTGACCAAAGAAACAGGAGAAAGACTGTTTTTCCTGGAAGAAATTTTCTCTCCCATAGACCCCAGACTCAGCAAGACGAGACACAGTATAGAAGAAACCGTACTGAATGTAAGTCAGAAAACGGAGGTCACGACCCCAGCTCTACCCCCTCAAAGCCGGATCTGCCTCTTCTACAACGAGGGGGCGGGGTGGGGGGGAGCCAAATTCATGAATCCCACACCTGGGAGGATACCAGAAACACAGGGAAGTTTTAGAGACACAAATTCCAGGGCTGTGCCCCCGACACCCAGTCAGGAGGAAGGCCCGGGAGCGCTTTCTGAAACCTCCTAGGAGAGTCCCGTGTGCAGCCAGGCCAGGGAGCCGCCGCTCTGTGAGTGTGACCTGCACGACAAGAAGTGCTTCCCAACACGGTGCCACCCACGCGGCTTTCCATCTCAGCTCTGCACCGGGGAAGGGAGAAACGCCACCGGATCAGGACAAAGTACACCGAGGCAGCGGTGCCCGGCACACAGGAACGGCTGGGGCTCTGCGGGCGCAACAGGGGACGTGGGACCATCTTAACCTGAAGTCACCACAAACAGAAGAAGTGGGACGGCGCCCAGCACGCAGTGAGGCAGTGTACGCTCCCACCTACTGGCGATGCGCCCCGGGGAGTGATCCTGCCTCGCCGTCTGTACAACACGCTGCATCACAGACCCTGACTCACAGACAGCGCTACAACCGCCTACCGAGCTCGCTGGTGGGCTCACACAAAGCTCCAAATAAATGTCAGCGGCTGGTGGGTAAACGCTCGCTCTCTTCCACGACTGAGACCTATGGATGTGTCAAGTGGGCCGGGCACTGGAGGGGGGTCCCCACCGTCACAGCCCCGGGCACTCCCCAGGGGCCCCGGAGGCAGCGGGATGGCGTCTGACACATTTATCAGCATGTCCGTGAATGCGGCCGTATGTCCCACCACGAAGGAACAAGGAAAAGGGGCAGCGCCCAGATGGCAAAGTCCGTCCCACCCAAGTACGGGGCGTCCCCGGAGGAAGGCAGGCATCAGGCCGAGCAGATGCTCGGGGCCGCCCCGGACCCGGAGGCGGGTCTGGGGGAGCAGCTGGGCACGTGCCGCGCCGCCAAGGAAAGCAGCGGCTCCGGCACTTCGGCCCCACACGCGTCCGTGCCCGCCGGCGGCCCAGGGCGCCCCCCACCCGACGCCCGCTCCCGCGTCGCACCAGGTCCGCGCTGCCTTCGCAACCGAAGAAAGACGCCGGCCCGGCCCCGCCACCCACCTTTCGTCCGCCATCACGATGGGGTCGAACATGTCTTGACTCCCCGCCATGGCGGCTCCCGGACCGGCCCGGCCCGGCCCGGCCCGACTCGCCCTGCCCCTCGGGCTCCGCCGTCCCGCACGGCCGCCCCCCCCCACCCCCACCCCGAGGCCGGAGCTCCCACTCACCGCTTCTGCGGAGGGGAGGCCACTTCCGGGGGGGGGCGGCGGCGCGGGGCAGGCCGGGTAAGGACGGCGCGCCGGAGGGCCCAGCCGGCGCCGCGGAGGCCCGGACGCATGCGCGCCGGGGGCGGGGCCCGCGAAGTCGAGACACCTTTGCCAAAAAAAAAAGGGTTGAAATTCTAGGTGGGACGTCCAGGTGAGCGTGCAGGGGCCGTCCTTTCATAGGAAGAGCCCGGAGGGAATCAGGAAGGGAAAACCGACATATTTCACTACGTGCAAATGCAAACTCGCGCATGCCCAAAGTGGGGATAACATTAAAAGGCCAGGAACAATCTGGAGGTGTGTTTTTCCTAAATATCACAACTAAGGCAATAATGTGTGTGGTTTATAGAGAACTTGCTAAAAAGGATAAGCAATGAGTGCATCCTAACAGGGGCGAAGAGATGGGCCAAAGTTTGGAGTGTGGAATTCACGGTCAGGCGGGCAGAGTGGAGAAGGGGGTGCGTGTGCCCGTGACCTTGGAACTACACCTCCGGGACGTCCTCCCACGTTCGCTGCTGCACCCACTGCACGTGCGCCCCGCGGACTCCAGCAGCGCCCAACACGATGTAGGAGGCGAAAGGAAGGTCATGGAAAATGCTCCTGATGTTCAAGGGAAGAAAGTCTATGTATCCTCCCAGTCCAACCACATTACACAATTACTCTTTTAAAAAGAATGAAAGTACCCCAAAATGTCCACAGTGACTAGATCTAGATTTTGGAATTACATTAATTTTTAAATGTCCTCTTTTATATGTTTTCTGAGTGGTTCATGTTTTATGATCCTTAGGAGCATAAAAAAGCCCCATAAGACATTTTTTTTTTCCCCCAGAAGATGAAATTAAATAGACTTTGTATATTTTGTTCGTTAAATATCTTTTCGTTTTTAGGTCGGGTTTTTGTTTTTGTTTTCTTTTTTCATCAGCTGATAAAATCACAAAACATTTGGGATGTAGGTAAAAGGGAAAACAAGCAAGCAAATCCACTTTCCCACCCCTCTGGCCACCAATTAATTTTTTTTTAAGATCTGGTATATTTCTTTTTAAAAAGATTATTTATTAGAGAGAGAGTGCATGAGAGAGCACATGCATGCAGGGGTGGGGCAGAGGGAGAAGGAGAGAATCCCAAGCCGACTCAGTGCTTAGCACAGAGCGGATGTAGGGCTCCATCCCAGGACCCCCAGACTATGACATGAGCTGAAACCAAGAGAGCCCAACGCTTAACCAACTGCACACCCAGGTGTCTGCCGCCAGTTAATTTTTGCTAATCTTGTTACATTTTTTCCCTTTGCATTTTCTCACAAAAATAATCATATATGTACAATTTTATACCCTTACCCTTGCCTACTAATGAGTTAATGAAAGTTAACATTATATTACAACAATGTCCCAAGTAAGGGAATGGTTCTCTCGTTATTACATATATAAAATAGATTTTTTTAACGTAAACCTCATCGGTTGAAAGAAAATGAAACAAGCTATTTCTTTTGGCCTGGGAGTTAGTATGTGGTGGAGAAACAGGCCAGTACAGGATAAAACCATGGATATAAAGAGATATACAGGGGTGCCTGGGTGGCTCAGTTGGTTAAGTATCTGCCTTCACTCAGGTCATGATCCCAGGGTTCTAGAATGAGCCCTGAGTCTGGTTCCCTGTTCAGCGGAGAGACTGTTCCTCCCTCCCACTTGTGTTCTCACTCTATCAAATAAATAAATAAAATCATAAAAAAAAGATGTCTATAGAAGAGTAGAGTCTTAATTTCAAACCTTAAATAACTGCAAAATTTTTAAAGATTACATGTGCTACAAAAACCAACAGTATTGATTCAAACTATTGTGTCAAAATAAAGCTTTGGCGAGATCTTCCCCCAATGTGTTCCATGGTTATGTTCCTAAAATACTACCTTGAACCCAGATTGTTAACATTGAAGGGTAAAAGATTCGTTGCGTTATCTTGGATTTTCAATACTTGTTCACAAATTGCTTCCTTTTCAAATAGGCATCAGACTTTTAAAAAGAGGGACTCCAAGGTAGGAAAAGGGAATTTTAACATACAAATATAATTTACTTCAAAAATCCTTAAATAAGTTTCAAGTTCGGTGTCCTTTTTAGCAAAAGAATTCATTGAAAAGTAGGTAGAAAAACTCTCAATTAGTATTTCTCCTTATTATCTTAGTTTTTTGAGAAAATGTTCTGATGCTTGTGTAGAGATCTAAGGAACCGGAATTCCGGCATTTAATTGAATAGAATTAAGAAATGATAAATGTATATAGGTATAATGAAGCCAAAAAGGTTTTTCAAAGGTATAGAGCTTTCTACATTTCCATGTTTAGGATCTCTGAAGGCTGCCTTAATTGTACTTACTACAATGACTTCGATACACTATTAAATATTTAATTGATAACAAAAGGTAAAAAGGGGATGATATAATCAGCTCCTGGAAATCGACCATATCAAATAGAATACACTTCAAAAACATGTAATGTTTCATGTATTCTAGTTCAAGTTCAAAGAGAACCAAATCGACATAACTCAAGTGAAAAACAAAATTCCTCAAAGTTCACTGGGAAATATTCACTTATGGAATTGACCTTTTTCTTTTTTAATTTTACATGCATCCGCCACCAAATACTCAGCAGCCTGCAAAACAAAACAAACCTGAACCTGTCGACCTATACAGCCAACCCAGAATCACACCCATTTTGTTAACGAACTAAAACCAAAATGTGCCGTTTGTTCCTGTGGTGGTTAAAGAAAACTGCGGGTCTCTCAAAATTTAAACATATTCGATATATGTTTAAAAATAATCTGCAAGGGGGGGTGCCTGGGTGGCTCAGTGGGTTAAAGCCTCTGCCTTCTGCTCAGGTCATGATCCCAGGGTCCTGGGGTCGAGCCCCACATCGGGCTCTCTGCTCAGCAGGAGCCTGCTTCCTCCTCCTTCTTTGCCTACTTGTGATCTCCCTCTGTCAGATAAATAGATAAAATCTTTAAAAAATAGTAATTATAATCTGTAAGGGTAGGGCCCTATCCTGTTGCAGATTAATTCTGTCCTTAGCTACGGAGCTGGAGGGCTCATTTCTGGCTAATGGACTGATAAATTATAAGTAATCTTTCTTCTCCTGTAGGTGTTTCTGTGTTTGATTTTTTCCTTTAATCATGGAGGAAAAATGTCTTTCATAATCAGAAGGGGAAAAAAAAGAAGAAGTGATTTCAAATTCTTAAAAGGAAGTCATTAGATGACAACTTACTTCCAGGAAATAACTCTTCCTCTCAGTCTGTATTCACCAAAAATAAATGACAACACAACTGGAAAAAAAAAAAAAAAAGAGGCATCTGGAGGCTTTAACATCCCAGTGTGACTCCCTGGGAAGGGAGAGAATCCAAGGATTGGGTCCCTTGCAGACTCTGGGGCTAATTCCCCTCCATTCCCTTCCCAAAGTGGAGCTCTGGGAGCCTGCAAAGAAGGGCTACTTTCTTTTTTTTTTCTCTTCCTTTTTAATCCACCATTTTAATTAAATTTTTTTATTTCCAATATAGTTAACATACGGTATAATATTAGTTTCAGGTGCACCATATAGAAATTCAACACTTGCCTACTTCGTCCCACACCATGTCCCATGCTCATCACAACAAGTGCTCTCCTTCGTCCCCATGACCTACTGCCTGCCTCCCCCCACCCACCTCCCCTCTGGTTACTGTCAGTGTGTTCTCTGTGGTTCGGATTCAGTTTCTTTGTCTCTCTCTTCTTTTTTTTTTTTTTTTTTGCTCATTTGTTTTGTTTCTTAAATTCCACATATGAGGGGCGCCTGGGTGGCTCAGTGGGTTGAAGCCTCTGCCTTCGGCTCAGGTCAAGATCCCAGGGTCCTGGGATCGAGCCCCGAATCAGGCTCTCTGCTCAGCAGGGAGCCTGCTTCCCCCTCTCTGCCTGCCTCTCCACCTACTTGTGATCTGTCTGTCAAATAAATAAATAAAATCTTTAAAAAAAAAAAAAAAGAAAGAAAAGAAAACATTTTAAAAAAAATTCCACATATGAGTGTCGTCCTATATGGGGCACCTGCGTGGCTCCGGTCGTGATCTCAGGGTCCTGGGTTGGAGCCCTGCATCGGGCTCTCTGCTCGGCAGGCAATCTGCTTCTCCCTCACCCGCTGTGCTCTCTTTCTCTCTCTCTCTCTCAAATAAGTAAATAAAACCTTTTTTAAAAATGAGTGAGATCCTATAGTACTTGTCTGTCTCTGACTTACTTCACTTTGCATAATACTCTCTAGCTCCATCCTCATCGTTGCAAAAGGGAAGATTTCTTTTTAATATTTTATTTCATTTTTGTTTATTAATTTGAGAGAAAGAGTGAGTGAGTGAGTTAGAGAGCACGGGAGCAGGGGTGGAGGGAAAGGGAGAAGCAGATTCCCTGCTGAGCGGGGAGCTCTATGTGAGCTCAGTGAGGATCCCAGGATCATGGCCTGAGCCGAAGGCCAACGCTTAACTGACCGAGCCTCCCACGCGCCCTGCAAACGGCAATAGTTCCTTCTTTCTCATGGCTGAGTAATATTCCTTTGCGTATACACCACCTCTTCTTTATCCATTCATCAATCAGCGGACACTGGGGCTGCTTCCGTAGCTTGGCTGTTGTAGATAGCGGGGCTATAAGCGTCGGGTTGCATACGTCCCTTTGAATTGGCATTTTCCTATTTGGGGGGTAAACACCCAGGAGTGCGATTGCTGGATCACAGGGCAGTTGTATTTGTAGCTTCTCGAGCAGGAAGCTCCGGATGTTAACAGGATGTTATCCAGTGCGCCTTCCTGGGGGGGGGGGTCACTTTCTACCTGCCCACTCGGGAATCTCTTGGAGCCAAATGACGGGAGACCTGCGGTGGGGACTGGGGGTCT